GGGTGAAATGGAGGAGAACTCCGAAGTTAAACGTTCTCAGTGTGGAGTACTACAAGGATGGATTACCTTATGGGAAGTCACCTTGAATTGCACCCCAAGTTGAAAATCGTGAGGGTTGAGGGCCGAAGCGGACAATATCTCCGTTGGGAAAAGTGTTGGAAGAAGCCAGTCATCGACTCTGAAGGAAAATGAGGAAAGAGCTTAAGAAACTTTTCGGAAATCAAAGGAACCAGGAGAGCTTAAGGAAATTAGCTTGTTTTGTTTGATAAGAAAAGAGGGCTTGGCTAATTCGGGGAGAATCTTAGCACAAGTGTAAAGTGTTGGGGAAACACTGTAGCTGGATAGCTGGGTTAGAGTACTGTGTGAGTGCAGAGTGGATTCTCTGTTAGCTGAACTTCATAGCATAAACATCAAGATAGTGAAAAGTCAGAAGTCACAGGATCGTGAGCTTCTGACCGTGGATTAGTCGACTCTGTATTTTGCAAGTTGGATACCACGTAAAAATTCGTGTGTATCTCGTTGATGTGTGTTACTTTCTGATCCTCTGCACAATAGCTTGCTTTGTTGTTTGAGACTTGCAGGAAACAGAGCAGGCAAATTGGCTAGAGGAAGAAGAAGGTCAACTCCTTTTTACTGATCTTCAAAACGCGGCGTAACTCAGCATAATTGTGGGTTAGTTCGAATTTGAGGTTTGGGCTAGGCTTGCAGAAGTACTCCCGGCTTTAGATTAAATCTATCTAAGGGTTGAAGAAAACGTTTCATTCCGGTTTTAGTTTTCAGACACTCAATCGTTTCTTCACAACCTTCTTTACCTTCTGTCAAATCCCTAAATTTCCTGATCTCACTTGTTCTTGGAAAAGAGATCAACGAAAGCTGGTGCAGGTAATTGGTTGACAAGTTTCAAGGAGCAAAGTGCTCTTTGAAGCAGTATCGTCTCGCGCTCAACGATCCAACAAGTGGTATCAGAGCAAGGTCGCCGACAGACGCAGGCTTAACATCCTCCGGCGAAAATGAACTCGAGCTCGGGAAATGGAAGTGGAGTGTTCATGGCAGATGGATTCTCCCAGACGCGCCCATCCAGGTTTGAAGGAGTGCACTACGGATACTGGAGGAACAAGATGGAGCCATTCATCGGCTCCACTGATCCTGATTTGTGGAACATAGTTCTTGATGGTCCACTCGAAGTGAAAGAAGCCAGAGGAAAGTGGACAGAGCAGGATAAGAAGAACTTTCAGCTGAACTCTAAAGCCACAAACTTGATGTACTGCGCTCTGGGTCCCGAAGAGTATCATCGAGTCACTGGGTGCAAGACTGCCAAGGATATATGGGATAAACTTCAAGTTGCTCACGAAGGTACATCACACGTCAAAATCTCAAGAATAAACAAGCTTAAACAAGAATTTGAATCATTCGTCATGAAGCCTGAAGAGTCAATCAAGGAGATGAACGATCGTTTCAACACAATAGTGAATAGTCTGAGAAATTTGGAGATTGAATATGCTAGTGGAGATTTGGTTCGAAAGATCTTGTTGGCACTCCCTAAACAGTGGACACCCAAGGTCACTGCAATTGAAGAATCCAAAGATTTAACAAACCTGAGTCTGGATGAGCTGATGGGATCACTGATTTCCCATGAAGATAAACTGAAAAAAGGAAGACGAGGAGGAGCCAAAAAGGGAAAAGAAGAGTATCGCCTTCAAGGCACTCTTACAAGAAGAAGAAATGGATAATCTTGAAGACATGGAAGACGACGAGCTTGCCATGTTAAGCAAGCATGTTGCAAGGTTACTCAAAATGCGCAAGGAAAGAAAAAGAGGAGTCTTCAATAGAAAATCACGAGAAGGAGATGAAAGAGAATTCAACAAGCAGGGTCGATCAGGAACCAAGTTCAGAAAAGAAACAATTGAAAAGTCAGTTGCTCAATATGGCTGCTTCAAATGTGGGAAGGCTGGACACATCAAAGCTTAGTGTCCCTCAATCAGAAAAGAAAAGGCCTACACTGCCACGTGGAACTGCAGTGAAGAAGACGAGGATGAATGTGAGACCAACGGCAAATATGAAGCATAGATGGACATTGGAGTAGATGGTGATGATGCAAGTGCTTCACAGGTAAGATTTTCTGACTATTACTCTAAATCTGAAGATGAGCAGATGACAGACACTATCAGAGAAATAGAACTGGAGTATACAAATGTTAAAGAAAAACATCTAAAGCTTAAAGATGAATTCAAGGAGCTTAGTGTAAGATGTGAAAATCTGATTAAGGAAAAAGAACTTCTGGAAATTTAGAAAACTGAAACAAAGGAAGAAAATGAAAGTTTAAAACAAGAACTAGCTCAAGTTAAGATTCATCTTGATAAGGTATGTTGTGATAGAGATAAAAGAAACAAGAGTAATCATGGAGTAATGTCAAAAACTAGTTGTTTCTACTGTCACAAAGAAGGTCATTTTATAGTTGAATGCAGAAAACGAATAGCTAAGGAAGAAAGAGGTAGCATGATGAACAGTTCAAAATTTAATCCAGTCAAATTTAAAAACTATGGATCAAAACATGGAGCATTCAAACAGGTTTGGATGCCTAAAACTAAGTAACTTTTGTACATCTAAGTCTGTCTCCAAGTGAGCATGGAGGACAACAATTGGATTCTGGATAGTGGATGCTCACACCACATGACTGGAAATGAAAAGTTATTCACCAATCTGGTAAAGAACAAAAAAGGTAAAGTTTACTTTGGTGATAACTTTAGTACAAATATTCTGGGTAAAGAACAAGTATGATCTAATCCTTCAATCAGTAATGTCATGTTAGTTGAAGATCTAAAACATAATTTAATCTCCATAGGTCAAATGTGTGGTAATACAAATCGAGTAGTATTTGAACCTAACAGATGCACAATTGAAAGTCTATCTGATGGTAAAATCTTGTTTACTGGGAAAAAGATAAGTAAACTATACTGCATTGATCTAAATGATAAAAGTGCTTTTAATGAGACCTGCTTAGTGTCTGTGGATAAGAATGATCAAATAGAATGGCATAGAAGGTTAGGGCACATCAGTGTAGGTACTCTTTTCTAAACTAGTAAACTTGGAATTAGTTTCAGGAATTCCTAAAATTCTTAGCGAAAGAGAATTTTTTGTGAAGCATGTGCTAAAGGGAAACAGACCAGGTCTTCTTTCAAAAGTAAACAAGTGATTTCAACTAATAAACCTTTAGAGCTGTTACATCTAGATCTATTTGGTCCTAGCAATGTTAGAAGTCTTGGTGGGAAATACTATGCATTTGTTATAGTGGATGACTTTTCTAGATACACTTGGGTCCTTTTTCTCACTAACAAGGATGAAGCCTTTCAAAATTTCAAAACCTTTGTTAAACGAGTTGAAAAAGAAAAACAGTCCAGTTTTATTAGTATTCGAAGTGATCATGGGGGAGAATTCATTGGAGAAGAGTTTAACGACTTCTGTGATGAATCTGGTATCTCTCATAACTTTGCTGCACCTAGGACTCCCCAACAAAATGGGGTTGTGGAAAGGAAAAACAGAACACTAATCGAAATTGCTCGAACAATGTTGAATGATTTTGGATTACCTAAGTATTTCTGGGGTGAGGCTATTAACACTGCCTGCTATACAATTAATAGAGCACTTATCATATCTAGACTAAATAAAACTCCCTATGAACTTTGGAAAGGTAGAAAGCCAAATTTAAGCTACTTCCATCCATTTGGATGTAAGTGCTTTTTATTAAATACCAAAGATCACTTAGGGAAGTTTGATGCTAAGTCTGATGAAGCAATTTTTCTTGGTTACTCAATACACAGCAAGGCTTATCGAATTTTGAACAAAAGGACCCACAAAGTGGAGGAGTCCATTCATGTTGTATTTGATGAATCTCCAAGTGAGTGTGCAGATTCCATGGATGAAGATGATGACTTTGGTCTAACAAAAAAGAGAATTCAAGTGCAAAAGGATGATGTGAACCAAAGTAAATATTCAGAAGAGATAACAGGAGAAAATGAAAAGGCCACATCAGAAGCACAGGCTCCCCTACACATACAGCGACGACATCCAGCCTCTCAAATAATTGGAGATCCAAATCGAGGTATGGTTACTAGATCAAGATCTGCTTTCATACATACTGCCTTTGTGTCTACTCTTAAGCCTAAATCTGTAGAAGAGGCTTTAGAAGATGAAATATGGATAGAATCTATGCAAGATGAGTTAGGTCATTTTGAAAGAATTCGAGTATGGGATTTGGTGCCTAGACCAGTAAACAGAAATGTCCTTGGTACTAAGTGGGTTTATATAAATAAATCTGATGAAGTTGGAATCATAACTAGAAATAAATCTCGATTAGTGGTTAAAGGATATGATCAGGAAGAAGGCATTGATTTTGATGAAACTTTTGCACCAGTAGCTAGACTTGAAGCAATTAGATTACTTTGTGCTTTTGCTGCTTCTAAAGGGTTTAAAGTATACCAAATGGATGTTAAGAGTGCATTTCTAAATGGTGATCTAAAAGAAGAAGTTTATGTTGAACAACCCCCTAGTTTTGAAAATCCAATGTACCCTGATCATGTATACAAGCTAAATAAAGCTTTGTATGGATTAAAACAAGCTCCTAGAGCTTGTATGAGAAATTAAGCACCTTTCTTGTTAATGAAGGTTTTCACAGAGGGTCTGTGGACAAAACCCTATTCATTAAAACTTCTAGGGTGCACTATCTGCTTGTCCAAGTCTATGTGGATGGCATAATCTTTGGATCCACCTGTCCAAAGTTGTGTAAGTCTTTTGAAACAAGCATGAAAAGTGCCTTCGAAATGAGTCTAATGGGGGAACTCAGTTATTTTCTAGGGCTTCAAATAAAACAAACTACTTCTGGAACTTTCATCAGCCAAACCAAATATCTCCAAAACATGCTGAAACGATTTGATCTTGGAAACCTTAAAACTGCCTCCGCCCCTACGGGATCAACTATAAAACTCACCAAGGATGAAACTGGAACCAAAGTAAATGACAAAACATACAGAGGCATGATTGGTTGTATCTCACAGTAAGCAGACCTGACATCATGTTTAGTGTATGTGTCTGCGCTAGGTTTCAAAGCTGTCATAAGGAAAGTCACCTTTCAGCTGTTAAAATAATCTTCCATTATTTAGCTAGAACTGCCTCATTAGGTCTTTGGTATTCATCTGATTCCAGCTTAGATCTTCTCAATTATACTGATTCAGACTATGCTGGGTGCGTAGTTGACAGAAAAACTACTTCTGGAGCTTGCCACTTTTTAGGAACGTCCTTGATCTCTTGGTGTAGTAAGAAACAAGGATCAGTAGCTTTGTTTACAGCAGAAGCTGAATACATAGCTGTTGGATTCTGCTGTACTCAGGCTCTTTGGCTTAAGTATCAGCTTTTAGACTTCGGACTCAACCTAAGATCTCTTCCCATTTATTATGACAACACCAGTGCAATCAATATGTCAAAAAACCCTATACAACATTCTCGAACCAAACATATTGAGGTAAGATTTCATTTTATTCGAGATTTGGTACAAGAAGAAAAGATCCACTTGGAATTCATTAGTGCAAATCTGCAATGGGCAGACATCTTTACCAAACCTTTAGGGGCAGATAAATTCTTACCAATTTGGAGAGAACTAGGCATATTCTCTCATGAGGAAATTCCTGCTCTGAATTAAGCTAGAAATCAGGGCCTTTGCAGATTTAAATGTCACCTTTCTTATTTTCAAAATACCTACTATACCTTTCACCTTCCCTCACTATAAAGTGGCCCAGACACAAGTGACCACTCATCCTTGTCTCTTCAAAATCCTTGACAAAACTTTCCTCTCCAGTTCATCCATGGCTCCCATCAATCCTCAACTTCACCTTGCTGCTGTTTTCAACAACAAAGGATTCCGTAATCCTGCTGCCTATGAAAGGTATCTAAATCGGTTCAGAGATCGTCCGATTTATCCTTCCTTCACGATCCAGCCCTCTGCCTTTAACAAGTATGCATGGATCTTCCTTTGTTCATAAGGAATCTGGGGTGGGAATCCCTGCTTGAGAGTCAAAGGTTCAGTAAATGTCTTGAAGCTGTCAGGTTGTTCTATGTCAACATTAAGCGGGAACGTGGTGCTGAACCCGCTCTGTTCAGCACCCAAGTTTATGACCATGAGATCACTGTCACCCCCACTCTCCTAGCTAGTCTCCTTGGCCTTCCCCATTCTGGTCATCAGGCTGGCTTCGATGGTGAGTTTGATGATCTCGGTTTCGACTATGACATGGCTCTTAATGTCTTCACTCGTGACACTGGTCGTCACTATCCCAATCAGCTCTTCACTGGAAGGTTACCTGATGAACTCAAAGTCTTCCAATTCTTTATCACTCGATGTTTCCTTCCTCGTGATCTGACCAGTGCTGAGCTTATGCATCCTTCTGATCTTTGGATCATTTCCAATGCTAAGGAGGGACATCGCATTAGCTATGCCCATATGTTACGTTTTGGTGATGGGAACTACAGTGGTCCTTTTCCTTTTGGTCCCTACATCACTAGACTTCTATCTCGTCTGGGCATAGATCTCCGTAACAAGATCATTGTGTGTGATGTCCGAGAAGCACTTCGACCAAATCATGTTCTCAATCGGGTTGATGCGGATGTGGGACGTCGTAAGCCTGTCTACGGCTCAGGGGGAGTACTGCTCCATTCCCACCTAATCACTGCACTGATAGATGCAGCAGCAGCTGCTGTGTCTAACGAGATCAAAAGACACCATGAGAATCTGTCTAGTAGCTCAGTAAAGCGGATGGTTCCTACTAATCTACTGATCTTTCAGGATCGGTTGAAGATGCTCCAGGCAAACCAAGATGATCAACCTGTCTTAGAACCTTCTTCGGATTCTGACACTGAAAGAGGAGATCCAATTTCTGATTATGATTCTCCTCCAGATTATCCTTTCTGATAAGATTAGAGTGAGTAGGCAGTGAGTAGACTATAGGGTGTGACTGTGTTAGTGCGAGTTATTGTCTGCAAATGTTGATCCATAAAGGATCTAGTTCAGTTTTCATCCTTAATGAATAAAACAAGAATTTTGTGCTTCTTCTCTGGAATATATGCTCTTTCTATGTGAACAGGCTGCACCAACCGTTTGCTGAGTGTGTGCAGGTCATAGGAAATGGAGATAGAGCCATTGACAGGCTTAGGGGGAGTTTTTTGGAAGAAGCCAGTCATCGGCTCTGAAGGAAAATGAGGAAAGAGCTTAAGAAGAACCATTGGAAATAAAAGACAGGAAGAAGTAGGCTGCTAGCTCTGATAATAAACAAGGAAAGAATAGATTGTTGTAAAACCAAAGATGGAAAGGAGCGTCTTGGAAATCAAAGAAGGAAAGAAGCTCGGTTTATGGTGATCATAATCAATCAATTACCAACGGGCAGATACCAGGATAAAGGGGTCGAGTATCAGTAACACAGCCAGACGCAGTTTGAAGCCACTTTTCAAAAATCAAAGTAACCAGGAGAGCTTAAGGAAATTAGTTTGTGTTGTTTGATAAGAAAAGAGGGCTTGGCTAATTCGGGGAGAATCTTAGCACAAGTGTAAAGTGTTGGGGAAACATTGTAGCTGGATATCTGGGTTAGAGTAGTGTGTGAGTGCAGAGTGGATTCTCTGTTAGCTGAACTTCATAGCATAAACATCAAGATAGTGAAAAGTCAGAAGTCACAGGACCGTGAGCTTCTGACCGTGGATTAGTCGACTCTGCATTTTTCAAGTTGGATACCACGTAAAAATTCATGTGTGTCTCGTTGCTTTGTGTTACTTTCTGATCCTCTGCACAATAGCTTGCTTTTGTGTTTGAGACTTGCAGGAAACAGAGCAGGCAAATTGGCTAGAGGAAGAAGAAGGTGAACTCCTTTTTACTGATCTTCAAAACGCGGCGTAACTCAGCATAATTGTGGGTAAGTTCGAATTTGAGGTTTGGGCTAGGCTTGCAGAAGTGGGTTGGGCTTTAGATTAAATCTATCTAAGGGTTGAAGAAACGTTTCGTTCCGGTTTTAGTTTTCAGACACTCAATCGTTTCTTCACAACCTTCTTTACCTTCTGTCAAATCCCTAAATTTCCTGATCTCACTTGTTCTTGGAAAAGAGATCGACGAAAGATGGTGCAGGTAATTCGTTGACAAGTTTCAAGGAGCAAAGTGCTCTTTGAAGCAGTATCGTCTCGCGCTTAAGGATCCAACAAAAAGGTTCGGGATGTTGCACATGCTTAGACAAGAATTTTGAAATATTTAACCTTTTATAACTTCTTGGAATTCAAACTCATGTATCCTTGACACTAAAGAAGATCAAGTTCCTCCAAAAACACCATGAACATTCATGTCGGAGTTCAAGTCCACCGCCCAACTCAATGAGTAAGTCCTAATCTAGTACCATAACTAATATTAATAGGATACTCAATAATCACAACCATTAGATCGTTTTCATTGTTATATTTTAGCATCAAAGCACATATACCATAACATTAAATTCCATCATCCTCATTAAGCACATCCATCAAACCTCATACACACATAGACACACCCACTACCGTTAAACACATCTCGCACATATTTATAACATTCATAATCATGCACACATTATTTCACATCATAAACAAGCACACACACGCAAACACAAAACACCCGATGTTCATACCACACAACATAATTTCCCTTTTGGCTTAATCATTCACTTCTCCATCTTCTTTTCCCCACTGCCTCCTCCTCCTAGATCTTTTGGCTCCTTCCCCTCCGCTGACCTTAGGAATCAATGAAGCTCTCTCATAGCCAATAATATACTCAAAGTCCTTACTGAAGAAACATCACATCATCATTTCTCAACCTCATCTCCAACACTCCAAGTGCATGACTTGCCATAGAGATCAAATTTTCAGAAATAAATATTCATCAAAATATTTACTCCATTTAACAACACATCAAATCAAACATCATTTTCATTTTCATCATCATAATCATCATCAGTATCATTGTCATTGTCATCGTAATCATCATCATCATCTATTGCTGCCAAACTAAATTTTTACCTGTGGAAAATTTAATCAACCACAAACAATAAAAAGAAAAGGGATGGGACCCCCGGATCCGCTCGACCGATTTTTTCCGTCCTTATTGCCGACACGAAGCTCACCATATATGGCCTGCCGACGATTGCGGATGGACTTTTCCTCCAAGATCCAGCAAACACGCACAAAAAGTCCCTCCTGGCAATTTCCCCAGGTGACCCTCCGACGCCCAAGTCAATAACTAGTCTAGAATAGGAAGGGACTTAACCGTCTGTATAATACAACCGAGAGCATGAACTTGATCTAGCGGCAGAAAGCTCAATACGTAAGGTGAGTATGTCGGGTGACTATGAGGTGCTAGTGTGCCTCAGAAAGCTATCGTCGTACGAACAATATATAGGTTAGCAACAGTCAGGGATCACCAACAGGAAGCTCCAGGTAAACAGGCAGTATGTCGGTGGGCTATCGGCATCTCATATGTACGGCAGCTTTGACTGACAAGGAGCTTACGACACGTTATTAACCTCCGTAAGGAGTAGGGTAGCCGGGACAAAACAAAGCCTTAGGATGCACTAGAATCATTGTCGTGGGGAGTACCCTTGGCGGCTAACTAATATTTCACCAGAATCGGCCGCATGAGGAGTTCACTTGATGGCTAACGAGTACTTGCGGAAAAGTATGAGTGTCACCCCAGATAGATCACACAATCCTACAGATGAAGCACGAGCCTAGCAGGGAAGAAGTCCTTGGTGTTAGGTGACACGCTAAAACACAACACCTAACAATGGCCAAGTGTAACCAACGAAAGGGACTGTAGTATAGTGGCACAAGTAATAAATATCGAATCCACGGGTCTCTAGAGTTACTATTACTTAGCTTCAGTTCATTATCTATCAAACTAGATTAAGGATTGATTTACTAAACTACTCTACTAACTACAAGTTGGAAACTCACTTAGGTATGATTCCCCCTAGCTCCTCAATTAGTGTTAGGTGACACGCTAAAACACGACACCTAACAATGGCCAAGTGTAACCAATGACAGAGACTGTAGTATAGTGGCACAAGTAATAAATATCAAACCCACGGGTCTCTAGAGTTACTATTACTCAGCTTCAGTTTATTATCTAGTAAACTAGATTAAGGATTGATTTACTAAACTACTCTACTAACTACAACTTGGAAACTCACTTAGGTATGATTCCCCCTAGCTCCTCAATTAGGTCCAAGTTGCAATTACCTTTGTTTGATCTATTGTTGATTAAACTACGGAAGATCCTAAATTAGCTTGAAATCTCTTAAGCTGACCAAGCCTCTTAGACAGAATACCCGGCAGGCGACTAGCCATCACCGGGATAGACTGCTAAGGCGATTCATACAGATCTCCACTACTGGAATGAATTCCAGTTCAAAGAAGTGAATTGATTGACTCTCGCACAACCAATTCACCACTATCAATCAAGGAAGCTCTCTTAACCTAATCAGATTCTATCTATCATAGGTTAAAGCAGAAATCAAGAGAATTTGATCAAGATTCAATTGACTCAGTAAATCATGCCTCAGTCGATTATAATCAAACAATATAGCATCCAAAACTTCATACAAGAAAGATCCTAACACATGGAACTAGGGTTCCTCAAACCTAAGTGAAGGGAAGTTACTCCATAAAGAAGAGAGAGACTGCAGAAATCTTATCTAGATCTTCAATCTCCATCTCCAACCTTGATTCCCGAGCTCCAATGGCAAAGAACTCTTCCAAAATAGCTCCAAGAATGTTCCCAAGTCGCTCTCTCTCTAGGGCTCGTCCCTTGGGTGTTTGGGAACCAAAACTCAGCTCTCCCTTTCCTTTGGCTTGAATCTGCCTAAAAAACCCGATTCTGGGCAAAACCCGGTCGAGGACACGACCGTGTTTTACTTTTGCCCGCCCGTGTTTTGCCCCCAGCAGCCCTCACGACATGCCCTCGGCAGTAAAAACACTAGAGGGGGCCAGATAAATCACAACCGTGTTTTTAGGGTAGTCTGCCTGTGTTTTTACTGCCGAACATGTTCCCCTATATTCAATGCTTCGTTTCTCTCTTGTTCGTACTCTGAATCAGTCGCAGTTTGATCCCAGACGCTCGTAGTCTCGTCCTCTTTCTTTTCATGACAATCTTGCATGATTCTTTGTCACAAAATGAGGTATAAATCCATTCTTCTTCAGGTCATGCCTGAGTTTCTTCTCCCGAATCGCCAATTGATATCCGATTGACTTGAAACTTGCACCTATGCCCTCCCTTTACTCACTAGGACCTGAAATGTGATAAAGGAACACAACCTAGTGTAAAATAGGCAAAAAAGGGTGCAAACACGTGCAAATACATCGTCATCAAATTCGTTCACACTTAACCGTTTGCTTGTCCCCAAGCAAACCAAGTCAGACACAAGGTGCACAAAATATTTGGGACATGTCATACCGGCACAAAACACGTGAATCACACTAGCCTTTAGTAATCAACACATGAACAACGTCGACTTCAACCTAGACAACCACCACAGATGACATTTGAGTGCAGCAAAATCGAGCAAAGGAAGAGTCTCCCTTCTGTTCACCAACCAACATAGACTCGACTCAAACACTTATCCAAGACAGTCACTTCATGCATAAAACTCAAGACATCATAATCAAGACCGAGCCATCTAGGTCCCACCGGGGTAAAGAGTGTAAAGAACAAGGAAATGAATCGCTCACTCTCGACCAGTGGGGTCTGGACAATTTTATGTGAAAAATGCGCATTGTTATACTCTCAATCCCTAACGTCTCTTCACCATGACGGCAACCTCTAAATGTTAGAGTTCACATAAGGGATGTCACCACTAACTAATCCGGAGGTCTTAGACACAGGTTCAGATGACTGGCTTGGGTCTTGGGCATGGGGAAAAGGCCTTATAGGTGGTGGCAGTATTCATAGCACAAGGTTCCACAGTTCCAAACCCAACACATTCACAGCCAATCAAACCACTTACTTTCTTTCTGCCATTCTGCATTACTCAAATTCTTTAGAGCACAAGAGCGAAGGAGGTCACAATAATGTTAGTATTTCTAAGCCAGACTGCTAAGAAACACTACTTAATGAGCATGATTCAGATTTTTGGTAGTGGCTCTCTTTTGCTTTCATTCATCATTTTTTCTCTTTTTTTCATTTCTTGAGAGAGCCACCACCTCTGCACATTTTTCAAACATATGCCCAACTTTTAAGAACTACCTCCAACCCTCACATTATTTCTGGCAGAAACAGCAGAGAACATGCAAAAACCACTCTGTGGAACCTTTTAAGAGATGCAAACTGTCAAGAACCAGTTGATCCCAATAACTCGAGTTGTTGGGAGCAATGCATTCAAAAGCGCAATTCTACCTAGAAGCGGAAAAAGGATAAAATCGTAAAGCGTATAATCAAAGCGTAAAACAGTAAGTTTTTTACGCATACTGAAAAATTACTAAAAATCTATTTAGTAGGACATATACTATGTAAAATATGAATGCACAGAATTTAGATAAGTTAATAAATACATGCAATTCATGTCTAAAGTAGAGCAACTTATAACATCTTAATAATAAGTTCGTAAACATAAATTTTAACAATAAACAAATTTTCCCTCTCTGCTAATGAATTTGGAAGAGCCTAGCTGGTGAATTAGATTACTCTATTGAAGTTGAGAATGCATCCAAGTACCTGGTATGTATCTTTTAACCTAAAATGTATCATATTGTTGGTGATTTACTTTTAAATATACTTTTTATAATTCATTTCATGAAGGGAATACTCATTTAGTTAACTAAAGGCGTAAAAACGTAAAGCGTTTTGGTGAACTAAAAGCGTAAAATCGTAAGTTTTTAAGTTTTAAAACGCGATTTTGACTGCATTGGTTGGGAGAGGTTCAATCGTGGATCATATACTATTTTCTAACACCCCCCCCTTCAAATCAAGCCATTCAGATAGGCTTGGAGTTTGGACAGGCACAGGTCTGGACACCGTGTGCTTAACAGAAACATATGGGAGTCACCGGGAATCGAACAGAAGACCTCACGGTCACAGAAGGCTCTGATACCATGATAACTTATCCAAGCTGAAACACAGAACTGAAACAGAGAGACAGACACCAATTTACGTGGTATCCCTGGAATTCCAGGACTAATCCACGGAAGAGCTTGAACGCTCTTCAGCTACTGTTCTTACTGATGATTTTTGTTGAACATACAAGAGATGCTGCTGCTCTACAAATACTCTAATTCGGCCAAACCCTAGCACGTACAAGCTTGGCTCTCCAACGGGCTTGCATGGTTGCATGGGCCCAAACTCCTATGTAACATTGGGCTATTTACTACTACGTACTAAACATACAAAGAGCTGCAGATTAATTACATAGCATTCAACAGCCTCCCCGCAAATTGAGTCCGATCCACGAGCATCAATTTGCTAGATAGAAAACGATGTCGTCCTGTCGAAAAGGTCTTCGTGATTAAATCCACAACCTAATCAGTTGTCCGTAGGTAATGAAGTGAAATTGAACCATCCCGAACTTCGTCCCGAATATAGTGGACATGTAACTCTATGTGTTTAGTACGATTATGCATAACTAGGTTCTCTGCTATCTGAATAGCGCTGGTATTGTCAACATATAGATCCATAGGAACTATAATCACTACGCCCATATCAGTAAGAAGACGTCGTAGCCAGGTTAACTCAGAAGTAACATCAGACATCGCCCTTTATTCAGCTTCAGTGGACGATTTGGAAACTTTATCCTGCTTCTTGCACCGCCAGGAAATAAAAGAGTTTCCAAACTGAACACACTAGCCTGTAGTGGAACGTCTGGTATTGATGCACCCAACATAATCCGAGTCACTGTAGGCTC